TGACTGGAAATTCTGAATGCAACACAGGAAAGTCTTATGACGGTTTGCTAAGGCTCCAGCAACTCCAGCAAGGGAACATCTTGCACGAACTGAAAAATTACGATTGAAATAGCAATCCTGATGGTTTTTGTATGATTCCTTGTAAGGACACTTTACTAAGTTACTACATACTCCTATTCTGACTATATTTTATAGGTAAGACTCAGCTAAGTGCATTCATATTCTAAACGCCGTGAAACGTAGTAGGAAATTCTGGTGTCATGGAAAATTTCAAGTCACCAGCAATAGTAAATATTTTATGACCTTGTCTTTCATGCAAACATCAACAGTGTCGAATTTCTTAGCGTTTAACAAAGAAATGAGCTCTTGTGAACACCATTGTGGTCATGAAATCCAATCCGGACAGAGTTTAAAAACATCTGCTATTTTAACACATAGTAGACGACATGACTTCTATAGGAGTCATATGATACAAAAATTATGACCGTTTTTAACTTGAAATCAGCATATCTCAATCCATAATGAATCTTACTAATTACAAGAAGAATCCGTAAAAATAACTAAAAAATAAAATCATAGTATATCTCAGCAACGTCGTGGTTGTATTTCGCTTAATACCCTGCCGCGAATTTATAGTAGGCAGAAAATAAAAAGGTATAACATTAAAACCATAGTTTTTTGTAACCAAATTCAAAAATATAAATTAAATAAAATAATATAAAAAACAAAAAATAATCAAATTATGGACAGTTTCTTAGTAACGAATGCTAACTCATAATGTTTTTTAGATCATAAAACCACTTACATAGGATTTAGTTGAGCGTCTGAAATAAAATATCTGTTGGGAATCCCACCCAAGCTGTGGGAGATATTATTCCATTTTCTTTTTCAGTGATGAGAACATTAGAACTGAGATGGATATTTTTTTGAAGTTTTTTTTAAAACATATCAAGAATAAAATGAGCACATAGTTAAGGAAGTACTCAACACTTTAGGACGTAGTTGACGTTGTGTTGTCCATAATTTTGTAGATTTTACACGTTAGCTGTTCTCCCTCACAGCACAACTGTATATATATTAGAAACCTTCCCAATTTCTTTCATCGAGACCTATTATAAGAGTGAAGCTCTAGGCGAAAATTGGAATATAGGAATGGTTCTGAATGTAGAGATGTGAGCAAAACTCCGAATCACAGCTGCGCTTCGGAACTACGATTACCGTTTTCGAGGGGTCGCGTGTTATCCACCACAGCAGTTGAGGTCCTCGATTTGCCTTTCTCTCAGACAAGTTTTTGCTTTTATAGTGTTACCAGCAATTACCCGTGAAGGACAGTAATCTAGGAGGCACAAATCGGCATTGAACCCAGTTAAGCTGAGGCTGCAGTCGAGATCACAAAGTATAACTTTTTATTTTGAAGCCGGCTTTCCCTGAACCTCGCTATCACTAATCAATATGTATTCTTTCTTTTATGAGCTTACACGAGGTTGATAATGATGTTTATTTTCGGCTAACGTTTCGACGTCTTCGTCTTCCTCAGAGCCGATGATCCGAGTCGATCGTCGTTAGCGTTAGCGTTAGCCGAAAATAAACATCATTATCAACCTCGTGTAAGCTCATCAAAGAAAGAATACATATAACTTCTTATTTACTGCCTAATTTTTTCATGGAAGAATATGATGTAAAATGTGATTTCATCTGATTTCATTTAATACCCTACTATAAACAAAGAATAGGCAGCAAATAAAGGTCAAAACACTGTGGTTTCGAATGTATCCATTTCTGGAAAACTGCAAAGGAAAGACGAACCGCCATTGTTCCTAGATATAAATGATAAAGGATGAAGGATAAAGTGTTTAACTCTTGATGAGCTATATGTTGACCTAGAATTTCTATCGGCGGCGTTCACAATCGACAAGATTCTGGGACTACTGAAAATAGGAAAAAACTGCTGCCGACGAATCTGTTACGACCATTAAAGTTTGATGGTAGTTTTTTTCTTCGGATAAGTAGCACAGTTAGAATTGAGAACTGGACGCTTTTTAGAAAACACGTAAGATGCTTCATACGCATAGAATTCCCGTTGCCTCGGACCCAAAATGGATATTCATCTGCTTCGAGTTTACTGTTATCTTTGAAATTTATCAATTGTTGGTACGGATCATAAAGGAACAGTTGTCTATCAAGTGTTTCTAATAACTTTTCGGAATAGAGGTGACTGGAGAGAACTGTGAATGACTTATTGATTAGAGTTTTGTAGTGCACTGAAGAAACATGATGCGTTGGAAGCGTAATGACTAGAGGTATGAGGTAATACGCTCTTGATTGTTGGTTCGATCCCGTCTGCCCAAATTACTCTTCCGACGTCAGCAAAATGGTAGTTCTTTTATTATATGATAAAAGTTCCAGTTTATACACAAAGATGGACGACAGCTTGTGGTGAAGAAATAATGGACCTTTCTAAAGGTTCTAGGTAGGATCAATTTGACAAGCATTCAATGCTCAATCACCTGGAAACAAAAATTCTCAAAGTTCTTGGACCAGGGCAATATGTGAAGCTGGGTCCTATAAACAAATAGCGATCATACATACAAAAATGGATGAAATAATTAGAAAAAACATGAAACTGCAGACGCCTAAAGTAGTACATGAAGCGTTTATTGCAAAAATTAAGAGTATTGATAATGATCTCCTACACATTTAAATCGAATACCGGTCTTTTGGATTTGCCCCTGAAACATTTCTGAAATTACTTTGACTTAGACTTTACAACGTGCTCAAAACTATGTATGCGCTACCTTATCAGCTTCGAATACTAATTTTTATTTCCTTTTTTCTTTGCGCTGGGCTCTGAAAAAATCGCTAAATATTTGTGGTCTCTTCAGCGTTTATTTGGATTACCTTTCAGTACATGGTTTTTTTTTCATATGGGGTAGCATTCCTTTGTTAAGACATCAACATTATCCTTTGAGTTTGTAGAAGAAGAAGGTTAACATAGATTGATTCGATTCTTATAATTTCACGAGTCATCCAAATCACATTAGCGCCCTTCTTAATCTGACTATTCGAGTTCACAAAAGCCATTAATCGACCAATTTTTTGACCAATTTAGCGTGAACCTACTGAAAAATTTTGTTAACGAGGTTTAGAACGGAAGGAATACGATGAGCACTTTTTACCGTACTAGGTTCCAGAAGGAAATGAAGAACAATTTACCTACATCTACTACGGTCCTAAGCGCGTGTAGTTCAGTAGTTAGATCCGCCCAGCAATACACATGGGCTCGATTTTGCGTCCCACGTCCATCAAGTCTTCTAGCCCTTCGAGTTCCGTAAACTGCTTTCAGTAGGTTACCGCGAGTCACTTTATACGTCAGATATGCATTCAGTCATTCTAACAATGTTTAGTGAAATCGAATGCGTAGCGGATTCCTATTGATCTAAGTCAAGAGCTACATCGTTTATCCTTCTGCTACAATCTAAGTGACCATTACCGATACAGCATACAACTTTCAGCCAGTACCGAATCATTCATCAGTCATTACGTTGATCTTCCAAAAATTCAAGTAATTCTTCCTCTCTCACACGAAATTATCAGTCATCGACTTCTTTTTTTACTGTTCCTATGACTTTTGCGAATAGGCCAAAGTAATTTTGTCTATATAGTATTACCCAAGTATAACGCGACCATCTCAGAATTCCAGAGGTAGTATGATTACAGGTACCTAATGAAAGGACATAACAGGGTTGTTGGAAAGACGAAAGCCTGCCTAGGGAATTCCATGCTAAATTTTCCATGAAAATGGGGTGAAAATAACATGTACAGTATCAGAACATAAAAAATTAATGGACAGGCAGACTCGGAAACACCGTTTGGGAATCAGTCGTCGAAGAGAGAAACAACGCTTTAGGTGACGAAGCTGGTTTCTTGACAACAAATTACAATTTCTTCATCAATAGAGTAATGGAAAAGTTTACAACTTTACAAACAGAGAGAAGCGTTGCATAATCTTGATGTTGCCTGTAGTTTTGATAACGTATGGTTTAAGTTTGGGGCGGGGATAGCGCAGTGGTTAGTGATGCAGTCGATCAGGAAACAAAGGTGCTAATTGGACCCACTTCCCAACATGGTTCTGCAATCGACGTAAGGATGCTTTAGCTCGACTATCTCCACGATTGCGAGGGGAATCGACTCGACCAGCACTTTACGATATTGATGAAGAAGACAAATTTCTCGAGTAGCAGCCAAACGAACGCTTAAAATATTCAATGACCTTGGTGGACGATGAGTGCGAGGAAAGCGAATCGAATCCAGGAAGTGGTGGGATCCACACAATAGATTTGATAACGGGTCATATAAAAAATTTCTTTAAATCTTGAATTTGCTTGGAATTAAAACTCTCAGCAACATCTATATAAGCATCTATATAAGCAACTATCAAAATTTTTCACCAAAGTACGGCAGCTGGAAGCACAAGCGATACCTTCTGGAACACTATCGTGTCCTGTTGAACGAAATCCCTCTTCTTCATCTGTTTCCGTGACCTAATTTGGACGCAAAAAATGCAAAAAACCACATTTCTTAGGCTGCAGAAAATCAGAAATTGTGGTAGAGCACAAGGTTCTATTTCACTGGCAATGATTTGTACATTTCACTGGATTCTATTACAACTAATAGATTTCTATGAGCAGAGGTATGAGGATTTGAATTTGACAGTGGCCATTATTTTCGCACCGTATGACTCCTATAGAGGGCACAAGTTGGTATAAGAGTTAATAATAGTAAAAATTAAAGACGTGGACAAGTTTAACAAGTTAAACATAGTATAGAGTTGGAGAAAAGTCTATACTAAGCAAATATTCGAAAAGAAAAACCCAAACCCACTTTTGCTTTTGGAAGTTTTCGTCTTTTTCATTACGTGATCACTAAAAAATATGATTTGGAGAATATTCGCATCCTGCGAATTATTACTAGATCTGGTGAACATTACTTTCTTTTACAACTTACCTTGATTTCTTTCCCGTTTCTGGTTCTGAGTTTGGTTTGGGACATGCGAAAAATGGATCATTCAGCATAGCAGGATCAATTTGTGGTAAGGACGGACCAAGTGGTTGAGGTTGAAGAGGCGCTGGACATTGAGGTATAGGTTTTTGTTGTAGAAGATCTGGTGTTAGCTGAGTTTGTACTATCGGAGGCTGAGCAAGCTGAGGTGGTGCAGGTAATAGTGGAGATAGAGGTGTTAGAATCACTGCCGGTTTTTGTTCCGTCAACGGTGGTGGTGGTGGTGGCTTTGCGTCCGCATCAGCCGCAATAGGTTCGTATTCGGCCATTTTTCCTAAAGTGTTTATTAAGTGCTTAAATGATCGAAAAAGTGAATTCTAGGTTTGCAATGATAGTGTTGTTTATGAACTTATCAAATCTAACTAGATAAATATCCATCTAGCCATTGATCTAGTATCCAATTACTTACCAAGCTATTGGTAGCCGAAAGACTACCGACCACCTTTTGTGTTCTTCTTTCTTGAATGAGTGCAACTTCTATTTCGAACCTCTCTCAACCATGTAAGCACTGCTTGGATAAACTGTTGATAGTAAAAGATATGACGAAAAGAAGATTTAACGGAAGTTAAATTTGGCCAAGGGCGCGAGACTAACCGACTGCCGTTCTTATCATTTCTTGTCAAGGAAATGCTCTGCCTTAAGTTATTTTTTCTGTGTATTTAGTGTTGGGATTAGTATATCGGTATGGATCCTCATTGCGACTTTTTTTTTGAAAACCGCCTTTCCCTTAACTTCTGTATGACTAATCAATATGTATTCTTCCTTCGATAAGCCTGCACGAGGCTGGTAAATAATTTTTATTATCGGCTAACGTTTCGATAGTTTCGTCTGCATCAGAGCCGATAATCCGGGTCGATGGTCCACAGTTCCTCGTGTTCTCGAGGTGGCGTCTTCGTTACGCATCGAGTTGGGTCTTCCTCAGTGGAGCATTTCTCTCGAAGAGATGAGAGATGAAAGAGATGATCTAGATTTAGAGAGATCTAGAAGTAGGGATCCAGAGATCTCTATTTCGAGAGAAATGCTCCACTGAGGGAGACCAGACTCGATGCGTAACGAAGACGCCACCTCGAGAGCACGAGCGACTGTGGACCATCCATCGACTCGGATTATCGGCTCTGATGCAGACGAAACCGTCGAAACGTTAGCCGATAACAAATATTATTTAGCAACTTCGCTTATGCTTATCAAAGAACAAATATATGTTGTATATCTTTTGTTAGAAAAGAGTTAAAATAGTTCGCAGGATTGACTTTCTCTTAACCTCGGCATTGGAATATGAATGTGTCGTTTTCTTGTTCAGCAATCGCGAGGTTTTTAAACAGCATACAGTTACTTCCATAGAAAAACACAATACAATACAACGCTAGCTGACGTTTCGGCAGTATCGCCTTCTTCAGAGCCTGGAAGGGTATGCTGATATACAATCTACTAGGCCAAACGCTTCAATGACACTTACAAAAAGACGAAAGACTCCTTGGTAATTAGGATACATACACAAACGCATGGAATACAAAAGCATAGCGGAGACAATTTTGAAGTCAAAGTCAATATCTTTGCAGAGGAGACTAAAACACCAGCGCGAAAACTTTTTGAGGCTTTTTGGATAAACGCCAAAAATCCCACAATGAATAGCAGGGAGGAATGCCCAGAGGCTATACGCGACCTGCCACCGTATCTTCGCATCAATTTCTGATATGGGGTGGTGCAGTCATCAGCCATATGCGACTATAATCAGCTGTTCTAACCTTTCTCATTGGATGTCCCGAAAAGAGCAGTCAGTGTTTCGAGAAGCTGTTGATCATGTAATTGCCATAGTTTTTCGTCTTTTTGTAAGTGTTATTGAAGCGTTTGGCCTAGTAGATTGTATATCAGCATACCCTTCCAGGCTCTGAAGAAGGCGATAGTGCCGAAATGTCAGCTATATCGTATTGTATTGCGTGTTTTTCTATGGAAGTAAATGTACGCTGTTTAACAACCTCGGGATTGCTGAACAAGAAAACGACACGTTGAGAAAACCATCCGCTTATTCTCAGTGTACCTCCTTATCCCTTATCAGGGCGCGTGTGGCGCAGTCGTCGGAGGCGCGCTGCAACACACACGGAATCGATACCAGCGGCCATGGCCTATCAAGTCCTCCATCCCTCCGGGGTCTGCAAATTCGTACCAGACTTGTCTGGGAGGATAACAGCACTGGCTCGATACAACGGTAAGCCACTGCGAGTCATTGTAAAGGCCAGATATGCATTCAATCACTTCCAAACGATGCTTAATGAAGTCGAATGCACGGGGTATGCTTCAGGGATTGGTCGATGCTGACAGATTTTTTTAGCTTTATCATAGTATGGACTAATCATTGAGCTACTATGTTTGTGATTATTGTATTCGCTGAGACCTGATTTCTGACACGAAACTCATGCATTGGGATCAATTCATGTAATCCGGAATGCTTTTGAAAGCAAACACTCTAGTATACTCTTTGTCAACGTGTCTACAGTGTTACTCTATTTTCACAAACACATTCACTACCAACCTCATGGTTAGAACAGTGCTGCTCTCTGCAGAGAATGAATCACCTTAGGACTCATAGGTGCGGGGAAACATCCCATCAGCTATTTTCGTAAATTATTCGTTCTTTTCTGAATTCGTTGAATATCTTCTCTCAGATCACATCCAGTTCACTATCCGCGTTATGATGTTGTTGATTTAATGGAAAAGGTGTAAGGATATGAGGACTGTGCGACAAATGATACAGTCGGAAACAAAATTCGTTAAAATCTGTGTCTCTGCCCCGGACATGTTAGGATACTTATGATTTTTCGTATTTTTAATGTTAAAATACAACAGAATGCTCAGAATATGTCCAGTGAGAAATACACGATGTTGAAGAATTTATGGATATGCCAGGGCTATGCTACAATGTAGGTGATGGTATTCAGTTAGCTGTCGAATATTTAAGATGTAGGATCAATAGCTTTTCATTTCCCTTCTTCGCCTCCTCCATCTTAACTTTTGGTACGAGTCGCGACTGCTGCTACAACTGCAGCTCCAACACCGCTTCCGTCTTTCGACAACATCAGTTGGTACTGGGAGCAAAAAGTCATTACTAATATGAAATTTGGTGAAGTAAGAACACTTTGTAACACTTTACACTTTGTAAGAACGTTTATTTGGACCCGATCGTAAGGTAGTTTTTAGAGGCAGCATGCAATATGTACGCAGTTCTTGATTTGATCCCATACCGTTGACAATTCCTGGGGTAAGTGGGTACCACAAATTTACAGAGAAGATAAGAGCAGAACTGATTATCGGTATACCCCGCAAATCGTTGCATAGAGTAAATATGCGTACAGCTTTGATAGTACGAATGGATTACAATACGTTACGCTACCCTGAGAGAATGCTCGAACGGTGTGTGCCAGACCTGATTACCAAGTAACGTCTTAATCTTTCCTCTTTCCTTAATTTTTGAGACATCAGCTTTGACAAACCATGCATCGACGAAAAAGACTGTTTCTGATTAATACTAGAGCTTAAGAGCTAAGTGTGTATGTAGCAGTTAAGGGGCATTAGCTGCGTAAAAAACAATTTTTCCTAACAAAGGCTACAGTGGACGTAGAGGTGGTCAGGATTCCATTACTGTAACACAGCACGCCCTCCAATGGTTTGAGAGAATTTGAGGAGCCTTAAATCTACTCAGATTTGATTTCACATGAACTCACCTTAACACCGCTATCAACTAGAGCAGAAATTTTTTGATCGAGTAGTTGTTTGAATGTCGGATGAAATCGGTAGACAGATCCATCCACACCGACGGTGACGAATGGGCGCTTAATGTGGTTCAACACTTGGGCGATAGCTGCCGCACACAAATGCGCAGCCCTAAAGTGCACATAAAAATATGTTTCGAACATTCCGAATTGTAAATTCTTAAATGTTAAAACGCAATAATGCTGAGATATTTGTAGAAACCCGGACCGCAGGTGTCTCCTATGGAGAAGGAGCGCACTATTACCCTTTCCGGAGGCCAACGCGTTCACCACTACACCATGCTGGTCCTTCGTATCACCTGTCTCTCAGCTAATTTGTCCAACGGCTTTTTTGGAAGTTACATCGTTTTGTTTTTCAGGTAGTAACATTGATACCGTTGTGGAGGCGCCACTGCTACACACACGTGGAATCGATCCACGCTCCCATGGCCCACAAAACCTTCCATCCCTCCGGGGTCGGCAGATTGGTACCAGACTTGTGTGGGAGGATAGCAGCACTAGCTCGACACATCGTTAGGCCACCACGAGTCATTGTAAAGGTCAGATATGCATTCAATCACCTCCGACGATACTTAATGAAGCCGAATGCATGGCGCATCCCTCAGGGATTGATCAAGGCCGAAAGCTTTATCCTTTTAAACATTGATAATAGAACAACAATTTTGCTTTCACTTATGTTACTACAGGTGTGTGGCGCTGTGGTTAGAGAGGTACTACACTCCACGCTCACCAAGTCTTCCATCCTCCATCTTTCCAGGGTTGGCAAATTGGTACCAGACCTGTCTGGGAGGATAACAGCATTGATTCGATACATTGATAGACTACCGTGAGTCATTCTATAGCCTAGATATGCATTCAGTGACCTGTAACGGTGCTTAATGAAGTCGTACACAATGACATCCCTCATGAATTGATCAATGACGAGAGCTCTATCCTTTGTTTAATATTATGACACTGACACTTTTATTACTGATTATAATATTTTGCTCAATATAGAAAGATTAAGGATAAAACTCTCAGTGTTGATCAATTTCTCAGTGATGCGTCATGCATTCGATTCCAGTAAGCACCCTCAGAGGCAATTTAGTGCTTGTCCGGCCTATGGCTCACGGGTGATCCATCGATGTATTGACTCATTTCTGCTTCACTCCAGACAGGCAGGTTTGTTAACGACTTGCCAAACCCCGGAGGGATGATGGGTGGTTTGATGAGCCTGCGCGCCGGGCCGAACCAACATGTAGTGCGGTGCGCCCTTAACCACTGTACTACACACGTCCTTTTGCTCACTATACTGTCAAGCAATTTTACCCACAGTTTCTGACATTCTTTATAAATCCTGTTTAAAAGATCTACCAGTCACAGTAGAAAAAACATAGAAGGCAACTCTATAAGGTACAGTATTAGAGCCGATCAGGTCCGCCGTTGGAACCAAACAAATGCGATTCTGCCAGAAAAGGATAGAAGCTTCAAAGTGTGCCCTTTTAAGTGGTTTTTACTCTCGCTTTGAGCACTCCTATCAGCAAGATTAAAATATTTATTTCACACTTTGGTTTTTTTTATTTTATATGATCCGTTTTAACGTCTACTGCACGGATCCCATCACTTCTCACATCCAATTCGTTTCCTCGCATCCATCGTACATGGAGATCTTCCAAGTTTTTACATGTGGCTTCAGTTGCTGTTTGGCGATTTTCATTTCATCTTGAATGTTGTAGAATGCTGGTCGAACATTTTTTCCAAGAGTCCTGAGATAGCTGGGCTGGAGCGTCCCCAATTGGATTGCAGGAGTGATTTTTCCCCAGAGATGTCCGGTACCAATTTCTCGACCCCGGAGTGATGATAAGCTTGGTTGGCTCGGAGAGAAATCGAACTAGCACTTTGTTCGTGATGACGGACATCACTACTACTGTGCTATCCACTCTTTCACTTTGCTTTGAGCTTTTCAATATTTTTGAAATTAATGAAAATGATGTTACCTAGAGCTAACCATCGCGCATATATAACCAACATGTAGACAATCCTCATCAGAGATGTTGATGACACCAATATTTCGAAGAATTTCACGAGTCTTCGGATACGAATATGCGCTTCCATCACTTATCATTTCACTGAAGCAAAACGAACTTTTGAGCACAATGACATCGTTACACATTTGCAATTAATACTCCACTTTATGACTGCGATGTAGAGAAATCATTTATAAGCGTTTTCCAATAAGTGTTCCTTCTTACTCTCTTTAAAGGGAACTTCCTCGTTCGCTGCAGTTATACATTTATTTCGTGAATTTCAAGAAAATAACTTATTCATTAATTTTTTGCGCGCAGTTTTCTCAACCGATAAAAGTACTAAGTACTGACTGTTATCGCTGCTTAGTTTACATCGTACAAAACCTGAGGTCAGCATAAAGTTGTGACTTAACAGCATTAAAAATTCATTCACCTCTCAACTGCAGAAACATGTGCTGTGGTAAAGGATTCTTCTTTAGATATGCCATCAGTGGACCCTTTGAACATTACACCTTTCTTGGCTAGAGTTTCTATAACGACACGAACTAATTCGCCCATGTACATGCCGGATATCATTTTCTCGAATCTGAATGGAAACCTGAATCTTTAACAAGGACCCCAAGAACTTTTTCCGAAGTTCATTCACAAAATGAATGGAATCAGATTAAACGATCTTCTTACAATAACACCATTAATACTGAATTACTGTGCCAAACAAATAGTCATACATTTGCTTTTCTGGGTTAATAGTGAACTTGTCTACTATCTTGTCGAATTCGGTATGGGCGAACGAAATGGAACCGTCGTCTCCGAAGCCTCCCAATTCCATGTTGATGATCATCTGCACATCAATGAAAGCTTTTCAATTTTTATTTTGCTGAATAACATGCCTGTGATTTAGTTCGAAAAAAATCGCTCTCGTTCGCTCATCCTGGTACAACTTGGTTTTTGAAAGGAATTAGAATTTTTTAAACTTGACTGTCATTTTTGCACAAAGAAGTCTATGAAAATATCCTCTAAAGCGTAAGATGTCAGAGGTTGTCTTAATGACATATTGCCGTCTTGAGTTCTTTCACATACCTCAAGATGAAGAAGAGAGAAGTCGAAAAGCTCGAAAAATTGGTGCAGCACAAACGATACCCAGGTGCATACATGATTAAGTGGCTCAGAGGCTTGTTTCTTTGGTTACTTGAACGGTCCGCCCTCACCATTGGCGCGGACCTAAGCGTAATCACCACTTTTCGGAGATTTGCTGGTTAAGCCACTATGGTTCCCTGGAATCCCGAGGACAGCCTGGCCAAAGTCTGCTCCAGGTCGTCACCACGACAGGCAGTCGCAGCCCTTGTGGATCAGAGTGAGATTTGCCACCATACGACTTTGATACCAAGACTGTGGTGGATCCTGGTATTGGTTTGCTCTTAGCCAGGCTTCCTGATGGAAACGCCGGACTCCTTCTCAGCTTGGGAGACCCTGCCGGAGTGGCGAATCCACCCGCTGTGCATCGCAGTCCGACACTCAGGAACACCTCCCAGCCGCGATGAGGCGGTAAACCGAAGTTTTTACCCGGCAGTTTTTCAGCACTTTCGCAGTGTTTAAGGAAAGTAAGCCAATCATTTTAGAAGTAAATTCGTTTACTCTATGAATGACTCATGCGTGCCGGACTTGAACAGAATCACCTCGTCCGGTAGACCATCATTTTCCCATTCGCCTTTCATTTTCTCAACTCGTGAGAGCTTCTCCAAATAGCATGCGTTCGTGCCAGTTCCGACGATGACACCAATCTGTAGATGAAAACTGAAGACGGCGAAAGTCGAGTGCATACAAGAAACGTGGCACCTGGCAAGTGTTTTCCTTGAATGCGCACGCCATCAACGTTCCGACGGTGTCGTTGAGAACTGCGACTACATCGATTTCGATGTCCTTGAATACAGTCAGTGTCCAGTTATTCGATAGATACGCCAGTGTGAGTGACGGTTCTAGTGATTGCTGGTGTCATCAGACTACATGTTGGTGCAGTGGTTATCTTCAGCATCCGTCACTGTCGACTAGAGGCATGTTATCAACAGTGATTTATGCTGAATCAACCACACGGACTACAACTAGACCACGTCTTTGTATCAAATGAAACAAAATCACATGCCTTACGTCTGTTACATGCATTTCTTAGTAACTGCGCTACATCTTCTCCTACACATCCACTTGCGTTGAATCCCTTTGTCCAAGTAATTAGTCTTGCTCTAAAAAGTCCTGTTTCAAAAGAATTATGAAGGGTTAGCGCTCTGAAACAAAGGTGCGGTTGGAATCAGACTACTTTTCAGAGTGGATTAGTTGGATTTCAACGTTCGAATCGATCAAGTTTCTCACAAATTAGTGCAAACACGGCGAAATTCCGAAAAAAGTTTCAATTCAACTTTTCAGACTTTACTGTTCTCCGTACAGATTATTAGCTGCACATAGGGACTTGGCACAAAGGCAGTAGCAGACCTTCAGCATCGCTGAATGGTCTATGAAGGGCGCCGTCGTTTATACCAGTTCGTCAAGAACGTCAACATCTAGCTGATAGCCATTTGGCGTTGAATTCATGTCGTCAAAAAAGGGTATAGGATCGCGCTAAGAAGTTAGATCGCTTGGGAAAATAAATGGCAGTGTTCTGAATCTCGACAACCACCGACGGTCAGCAGCCAAGGACATTGTTAACACCACAATTCGTCTACAATGTGAAGAACTGGCCGATAACAGCAGTTTTTAACACCGTGGGTTTCCATAGAATAAACTGAGGGTCTGTTCATACGATCTTCAATTAAGTATGGGCAAGAGGTGCTATAATAGTTGTTCACTGACGATCTTCATTAATTTCATTCCTTATTTTTCACCAAATATATAGATACATTTTTTACACAACCCGTCATCACATCTAGTGTGCGTATCCGGCATTTCTTGCATTCAATTCGTTTTCCTCGCACTTATTGTCCGTAGAGGTCTTCGTTTCTTCTTCTTTAGAAATGTCATAAAATGCTGATCGTGACAGTTCTTTTTGTAAGTTTGGAGATAATCGGGTTAAGGCGTTCGCACGTGGATTGGAAGAGAGCGTGTTGGATGGGGTGTCGCACTGGCGCTTCTGCTTCCTCATCGACAGCACAACTAACCACTGTGCTATACTCGCCCCATATATATACATATATACATATATACATATATATACACATATATACATTACGACTGAAAATGACACTACCTTGCCAATCCTTCCTGCTTCAATGGAAATGAGAATGTGAATCCTAATGGTAATTTCTTCTTACGGTTGCTGAACTGTTCATTAGTGAATAACGCAATGCACTCGGCAATGTGATCAAATAACTGCAAAATAAAGAGAGATTTAGGAATAGTATGAACGTCCTTGGAATGTTGTATTCGATTCAACCACCTGCGTTCGTCATAGCTCTCCCAGCGGAAGTAGTAGAGCTTGACACTCTGAATTCTTAATTAAAACCATCCATATTACTAATACCTTTTCTCCAGTTCCTTGCTGTATGGATACCGGTATTTCATAAATCTTCCCTTTCATTTCAGCTTCACTTCCTTTCAATCGAATGAGAAGCACTCGGAAATTTGTGCCACCAAGATCGAGCGCAAGGAAATCGCCGGCCTCCGTTCCATTTGGGATGCCTCGTACGTATGACGGAATCATTCTCAGACCAACTCCAGGAGCTGAGATAGATATTTCTTTTTCCACGTAATCACATCGTCAATGAATTACGATTTCTTACGTGTTCCCTTTTTTAAACCCTGTTCCATGCCTATTTTGAGTGAATGCATAACTTTTCTAAGTTGATCGTCGGAAAGATTTAGACATTGACAAGCTTCCTCAACCTAGAGTGATTTAAATGATTCTACAGAACAAGAACAAAGTCTCTTTCATTAAGTGTTAAGTTTTTTCTGGTTGGTAAATTATCTTTAACAGAGATGTTTAAAATGAAAAGAATTCTATAAAAAATACGTACAGCCTTATCCACTTTCTCGGTAGGAAATACAAAATTAGATCCTTTGTTTATAAACATACTTATTAGAAAATTAATAATGGCTTTGTACACGTTTATAAGTACAACCGATGTAGACCCTGAAAAATGGGCAAAACTTAATAGAAGACAAAGAATAAGACAGTTACTTTGAACTGCAGGGAAGCATAGTAGTACACTGAATGCGTAGCGCGAGTACTGAACCAGGGCAATTCATTTCTCATAGGTCACCATCGTTCGACATTGGTACGACTTCTCAGCGAGATAATTTTCCATTACCTCTGTTGTAGTGAACGTTCATCTTTTACTGCCTACACTTCCGTGCATGAGATCCAAACTCTTTCATGCGTAGTGGAAAATGTAGGTTTTGTTATTCGTTTGAGGATATTGCTCATTTGTTGTGACACAAAAACTTTATCATCAAGAACACTATGCTGTGGTTACACATTTTCTGTGATGTCCTATATGATTAGATGTGAACTGTTATTAATATTAATAATAGCATTGAAAGTGGAATTAGTGCAAGCGCTCAATGTTGTGTCTGAGCTTTTGGATGTTCAGGTACGAGAAGTACAGTGGGCTGTGAATCCTCCAAGTTGTATGTTCCGAGCCGAGAACTCTAATATTTTCATCTCGAAACTCACCTAACAGTAAACTGAAGCCAACACTTCCCGAAAATTAAAAAAGAAACCTATGTTACAAGGTGGTGAACTTTCAGACGATTCTTGTAAGTGGACTACGACTTGTGACGACGGAAAAGGGACACCCTAGCAAGAACTTCCGAGCAACTCAGAGAACAGATCTTTCCAATCCACCGAAATATTGGTTAAATCGAAAGTGTGGAGGGCTCCTTCTGGTTCTTCACAAAGGTAGCCGATCCGGTTACTATTTATAAAATATTTTGAACAACTAATGAGCAACTCATTCGAAGGGCGTATTTTCGAATTTCGAATTTCGAATTCGAAGGGTGGCGTACTCGTAGATATACATAGTAAGTGTACTGTTCTTTTTGACATCTACCTTCCATACACGCATGTATTCATGCATATATGCATAATTGTTTTGTGTCTAACAAACAAGCCATCTACTTCGGATCTGACCTTAACTTCAAGCAATACTTCCAATTCAGAGTTTGATAAACTTTTGATGACAATTTTAACTTATTATTTACTGCCTACACTTTTTAATGACAAAGACTGAGAAACAGGTGAAACGAAGGATCTGCATGGTATGGTGGTGAAAGCGTTAGCCCCAGAAAGGGTAATAGTGCTTTCATCACCCACCGCAGACACCTGCGGTCCGGAGTTTTGCAAATATCTCAGCATCATTGATGTTATACTTCTTATGCTTGTTAAACAGAATATAACAAGAGCAATGGGTCATATTGTCAATCGAGATGACGTGGTCTTCTGCACGGTTGTGCGACTGACGGTACGACTTATTCCATCAGGTTTTAATAAACCATGGCAATAGTGGTTTACTTGAAATTGAATCATTACAAATATCTACTGTTGATAGATTACTACTGTGATAAATTTCGACATCTAGTACTCCTCGTTCCTGTTGGTCATTTTTTATTCAAAGATCTGATTATAGCGGATCTATCCCTAGTCTGTCGTATTTTAGAGAAATCTGCTCTAAATCTCCTCATTGAGCTACGACATCTTGCGCAAGAGAAGCGATGAAAGTGCAAATGGTATCTAGAAGTATAAACATATCAATAGTGTACAGCAAGGGTCGTTAATCGGTCAGGGAATCAAGGCTAACTATGGTCCTTTCACTAGAACTGTATAATTGACAACTCACCGATCGAAGTTGAGGAGCCAACCGACATACGCGGGAACGTCAGTAAAACGTATGAGGAACACTATAACTATCAATCACCACGAAATTGTTTTTTGTTTTGGTTTCGCTTATCCGCCTTATACGAATGAAAAGTTGTAGATATATGTGAAAGCAGCACCTTGAAAATTAATGAAACCTACTTTGCGGTATAGTTCAAATAGCAACCGTTTCTGAATGTTCTGACACATCGGAAACGCCCACATTGTTTCACATCTACAAACGATTCAAAGTAAAAAATAAAGCTCTCGGCGTTGATCAATCCCTGAGGGATGCGCCATACAATCGACTTCATTAAGCATCGTTTGGACGTGACTGAGTGCATATCTGGCCTTTACAATGACTCGTAGCGGCCTAACGTTGTATCGAGACAGTCCTGTTATCCTCCCAGCTAGTCTGGTACCAATTTGCCGACTCCAGAGGGATGGAAGGCTTGATGGGCCATGGGCGCGAGGATCGACTCCGTGTTTGCTGCAGAGCGCCTCCGACCACTGCTCCACACGCGCCCTTTTTTGGACTGTTTCACATCTACAAACAATTTAAGATAAGGAAAATAGATGCACATGGGGAATTTTTACCATCTTTTCTTCACCGTTTCGTCCCATCTATATAAATTTATAAATCTGTTCACTATTTTACTATGAAGGAGAGAACTAACGGCTTGAAAAGTAAGTGTATATCTTGACAACTTTATCTCTCTATACACAATTCTTTACATTACATTTCGAGGTTTTTTATCTCACATCAATAAACACAGTAATCTTTCGAACGCGACGTCTTATCCAATCGAAGGTGTGTCGCATAACACTTAGTCGAAGACTGCAATTTACTCATGGAAGAGTTGGAACGTATTTCACAGTGCATTTTTCTTACCTTTAGACATTGTCATAAATTTTCGAAGTTAGGAATCTGTTCCACCATGAATAGTTAGAAGTCCATTCTACCTAAATTGGTTTACGGTCTTGCAGTGACTGAGGGGGTTTCTGGAAAACAAATTCCAATGATCATCAGGGATTTATTCTTTCAACATGGTCATCGAAGCTTGTGAGCTTGACATCTCTCGATCTCAACTAGAAGTGGATTTATACCATAATTTACTTGTCGCTGCATTCACGCCAGGAACAGTGCAAAACAGAGATGAAAATCAGAATTGTGACATTTTGGCGTCCCTTTGGCCAGTGGATCACACTAAGTGCCACTGCTGCTTAATGTCGGATAAGCGGAATATTGCGGGTGCACGCATTACTGTGTTAGTCGAAAAGACGAACGGAATTCCATAAGTGTTTCTAATCAACTCTGGCTTGTAGACGACAATGGAGACGACTATTTCACTGCTTTCAACAGCATTTCTCTTTAATTCTTAACGAAAGTTTACTGAAATTGTAGAAAAGTGCACTTAGAATTCCTTTCAACGAGAGAACTGTCATAGTCTTGATCAGATAAATTTATTTGTTGTTGCAGTATTTGGCCTCCTAACCGTTTACCTCCTCATCCTAGATGGGAGGTGTTTCTGGGTGTCGGGCTGGGATGTACAGCGGGGGAATTCACCCCCTGGCAGGGTCTCCCAAGATGAGAAGTGCAGCATTTCCATCAGGAAGCCCAGCTAAGAGTAAAAGAATACCAAGGTCCACCACCGTCTTGGTATCAAACTAGTCGTATGGTGGCAAATCTCCCTCTGATCCACAAGGGCGGCGACAACCCGTGGTGGTGACGACCCGGGCAGACATTGGCCTGGCTGACCACGGGACTCCAGGGAAACACAATGGCTGAACCAACAAAACTCCACAAAATGGAGATTGTGGTGTGGTCAGCACAACCAGTGGAAACGGGGAGTCTAAGTATTCAAGTAAGTATAGTATTTGGATAGGCTCTTGAGCGTCGATTACTTTGCCAAGATGTTTTTGAGGGACGAGATCAGTAATAAAATGTACGTTTCATTTTTGATAAGCAACTGTCTATAGCCGGAGGATAGAAACCAGCTTTGAAAACTAGCAAAAATGCATCAATTTCTTCATGCGCTATCGACCATGAGAAAGCATGGTGATGAACATCAATACTGAAACATCACATCTGAACATCAGTACTGACAGAAGACAGAGGCCCAGCAATTACCGTGTGAGTGTGAGCACGTTGGTTGAAATTGTCATTGGAAGGACTCATATTATCCTTTATGGCATCGTCATTATCGGGATGATCTGCACTTAATACCATTTAATTGGTCAAGTTTGGTCTCTTAGACGAATCTTGCGCGCCAAAGCAAAAAAGGGGCGTTTGTAGCACAGTAGTAGAGATCCTATTCAACACGCGCATTTCTCTGGTTCGCTCCTGTACCGAGCAAAACAAGCCTATCTCATCCTTACGAAGTCGAGGAATTAGTTCCAAACTTGCCTGGAAAGCATTTTCCAATCGAGTCGACCAATATCTTGCGGTGAAAGGCCGATAATGCACTTGCCCTTTATCGCTGAATTCGAGGGAATATCGACTCAACCACCTCTCAACAACATTCACGAAAAAGAGCAAAATCCTCATTTAAAAGCCGATACCACACAATTTCCACTCTTTATGCTATCCAATAACTTGAAACGGGAGATTGTGAACTAGTTTAGTATTGTCAAACAGATCGTTCCTTAAAGTCATTTTTAATAGTCCAGGATCAAATTTAGACGGAAGGAACAGGAATTTGGATAGACTCTACCTGGAATCCAGGTAAAACTCTACTGATCCATTTTCCAATTCTCCAACTCACGCCCTAGTCAGCATTCCTTGACCGAAGAGTGGTTCTTCTCGGCAAGTTTGACACCAATTTGCCGATCCCGGAAGAATCGGGATCTTTTGTTGGCCCGGAGAGGAGTCTAACAAGGGCCTTGTGGGAATAATTGAACGGGATCTCTAGACTGTGCCATCCGCGCCCGTTATGCATAATTGGGTAAATCATGTCGTATATCGTATAACATTGTAATGAGACGTCAATTGTGCTCATACAGTCACTGGTGTGACACTGTGTGAATTGACCACATCCTACGTTTGACGACACCCTCCCCAGTTAGTAGAGGAAGGACTTACGAGCTAAAAATCCACGCTTCGCTTCGGTAGATGACTATGACAGTTAAATCCTCGAGTATTGCTTCAACCATTTCATAATTATTGAAAATAATGACTAAATGAATAACGAGTTCGACCAACATTGAAAATTTCTCTTTGTTCTTCATACATATAGTTAGAATTTTCTACATGGATTCTACAGTGCTGGACCGAATCATCATGGCTGGTGATATTCTTAAGTGTGAACTACTATGTACGCTTCATTCACAACATGGTGAAAGCCAACTTATGGATGAAGCGTACATAACAGCCCACTAAAGCTCAGAACGAATTCAAGATCTCCACCTTCTTCATGTCTTCGTGTTAAATCTTGTGGGGAATTCGGATACTGTACAGTTCATTACCGGAGATAGAGTGTCAGACCGGGGAGATAGAACATTTGAGACGACATATCCATACTTTATTATATAACACATGGCAGTTGATTGTCGTTGAAGAGATCGAAGAAAAAGTTGTGAGTAATATCCACCGTTAGCCTTCTGAACGAAGTACCGAGTCTAAGTAGAAGAGTGCAAGTGGCTTGAACTTGTATCAGGAAGGCGTTTAATATGCTTTTGCGAACCTCTACTACTACTGCTCTAATCGCCGTTATCCTCACCCATGATCCTCTAATTCCGCTTCTGAGAACTATGCATGTTCACATGTGAGCGCTTGGTTGTCTTCAGCTTGTTCGGTCTCAAATTTTCTTGTCAGCTCGAATGTTCTGAAAACTGACTTTCTTGGTGAGTTTGAAACAATTTGTTTTTCTGACACTCTCGTGGAAGCATTGAATAAACTAATCGCCTTCCTCAGCGGTATTACTGACAACAATGTCTCCCCATCCAAAAGTATGGATGTGAACAAATTCCAATTCCAGAAGTTCGTTAGACGCTATTCTGCGGCCAGTTTTGACGTTGTCACCAATCGCAAACTTGTAGAAGACCTCCTCTCTAGGACTTCTTCCAAGTGAAGATGCCTCCACTTTGTCTGATATACTGGTGTCTGAGCGCGTTTGGATTTATGGCCCGTTGAATGGAAATGGTGAAGCACTATGATCCGTGCAGCGTCTTCAACTGCCAATAGTGCCGAATGGTTCTATGGTCCGTTTTTCTCTTTACATTGCTGGATCAACATGGTATGCCATCGATTTGTACGATATTGGTTCTTGAAGATGCTGTGTGTTTCAAGGATGTAAGCAGCGCAATCCGTGTAGACAGTCTATGAGTGGTACGCCAAGTTTCCAATGTCGTTGAGGTATCAAATCAAGACTGTGTGCTCCGTAATAGAGCCCTCGGATAACGACTGAACCTAAGAGGTTAGCATAGAATTTAGGTTCGTTAGGTGGTCGGTGCCTTCTCTAACAGGCTCCCACGCATGCCATGCCATTGGTCACGTTCTTCTGGATTGTTCTTGGTTCATGTCCTTCATGTTCATTGTTCGCTAATAATACACCTACCAGGTGGTCTCTAATCGGAAAGTCGAGCAGTTTCACTTGTTCTCATTGTATCATGAATTATTCATAAATTGGCTGTTCTTCTGATTTTCGTAGTTCAATACTTCCTTCGTTTTCCTTGAGCTCATTTAGCGTCGCCTAAGTTCCACTGCCTCAGAAAAATGATGTCGTCAGCAAAACGAAGATTTGACAAAAATTTCCCATCAATGCGTATGACCTTCTTATCTCAATTGAGCGACATTATTACATCTTGCGCGCGTGTGGCGCATTGGTCGGAGGCGTCCTGCCACGCACACGTGGAATCGATCCCCGCGTCCACGGCCAACCAAGCCTTCCAACCCTCCGGGGTCAGCATATTGGCACCAGACTTGTTTGGGAAGATTACAGCACTGGTACGATGCATCGGTAGGCCACTGCGAGTCATTGTAAAAGCCAGACATGCATTCAATCACCTCCAAACGATGCTAGATGAAGTCGAATGTATATGGGACATCTCTCAGGGATTGAACTACCCCTTGGAATGTGGCTGAAAACGACTTTGGCGAAAGAGAGAGAGAGTTGCCCTATTGAACAGGTTAAAATCTACATTTTTTCATAGTGCAGTCACGATATCAATCAACTAAAGTTCTTCTGCAGGGCGGGTGAACCCTGATGGACAAGCATGGTAGGATTTCAATAGTTTAGAACTTTCTCAGACTCTACAAATGTTACGACACGGAGCATGTAGTATTCGAAAAGACTTTAGTGACCCTGGACATAGTTTGTAGATTGTCCATGCAGCAGAATTCTCGGTCAGCATTCCGTTTGCCCAACTGTTTTGCCTTATACGAAGGTTTTGATATGCTAGATGGAATTATGTTCGTGAAAAGTCTGAAGTGTACATTCGACAATACACTCGGACGATCGTTACGAAGATCTCATCGATCAAGGGCTGGATTACCGTGGGCGATATCCTCCACTGGTCTGGTGTTTTCTCCTTCCGAATGCAAGATGTGGAATATAGGCTGCGAGAAGCACAGTTTATGGATTCCAATCGTCTATAATACTATCGAGACCTGAAATTTTGGCTGTCTACATGTACTCTGTCGCAACTCGAATTTCGGAAAAGAGAATCTTCAGCGGACAGCGGAGTGTAGGTGACTTTCAAAACCAACGTTATGCCACACCACTGCGAACGGTAAGCAACAGATGGGCACGAACGGCTCAGTGGAATTGATCAATACCAGATAACATCGTCCCTATTCATTTCTTCATCCTTTCTGTTTACTTTTCAAACCTTCATTCACAGTGAAGAAACAAGATGGATAGTAATGGTAACTACCCACAATTTTTTTTTCCTGATGAGCGTCTAACTAACATTAAATTTCGTTTTACTCTATAGCGAAACCAATACTAGGATCCACCAACGTTCTGGTATCAAACTAGTCGCATGGTGGCAAATTTCCCTCTAATCCAAAAGGAAGGCGCCTGCTTGTGGTGGTAAAGACCTGGGGCAGACTTTGGCTAGGTTGACCTCAGAACTCCAGAGGGCCCACGATGGCTGTACGAACAAAATTCCGAGAAAGTGGAAATCATGCTGGAGTCCGCACAACCAGTGAAGGCGGCTCGACCAACTATCCACATATTCAATAGAGTTTTGTTGAATGTTTTAACATCCTTCCCAGTTAACGACTTAGTGCCTTACTGTTTTCCAGGGTATCGAAGTGCGCTTTGCAGTAAGCGGTTCGACATTCGACATGGTTGACGTTGATGAAGATGGGAATGAGACTGACTCAATGAAATACACTATTAGTTTTCAGGAAAACAAACCTACTTACTATTTACAAAGTCTGACGACAAGTTATGATGGTGACTTGAGAAGCTCTCAGGGAGCTCATCTAGGAAACATTATGGGAACCTTTCCCATAACCAGCAAAACACCAGTGAAATAGAAACTTCCCTTAGATTTGTATAATAAGGAAGAACGAGTAGCTGAAAATCTCGATTAACTACTTTGAATTACTATCAAATCCGATGGTCTCGTGAACAACAGAACACTACATACGCTCCATGGCCAATAACCAGCGTTTAAATTTCGCTGCGTACGTTCGGATATGTTGTGGCGCATGAGCGTCAGTAAAGCGTATTTCGGCAAGCGGCACATTATCCACCAGCTGTCCGATTCCGTACGGGTGTGAGGTCGTTCCGATCAAAGTTTAGCTTTAAAACTTTGCTTTCTAAGAGCGATTATTATGGAGATTGAGGTGAGTAGAGTTTAGTTTTTAAAGTCTTTAGGTTTTAAAAGGTGTAAAACATCCTTGAAGGGCAGTGTTTACTTTGGATTAGTGAGGTCCCCGATAATATATTTCTGATCTCTCGTCGAGCTTTATGATTTCGTTCTTCTTTAGTTATAATGTGTGTTATGTCGTGTTCTGAGAAAACAGAAAGACCTGGTTTCTATGTCGGTAGGGCGTCTTAGTCTGTACAAAGCTGAGGCCCGATGGGTCCCTCTACAAATTTAGTATGAGCCTTCATTTGTTGTTAATTAGTGGTAAAGTTGGCCAATTGCTTGTAGAAAATGCAAGCGAAAATGCTTGTAGAATGTGTTGTGTACAGCAGCCATTTGTTGGGGCAGGTTTTTGCATTACAATGCGAATCGTAGAAGTAAGGAAAAAAGGCGAAGATCGCTAGCTGCCATTGAATTCACGAAACGTCTAGGATTTGTCGGATTTTCTTTTTATTCAGAGCTGTAAGCGTTCTACTATAGCCTTATCCATTATTGGTTTTGATTGAGCCTAACTGGTATGGAGTAGTACAGGGTGGTCTGTTTCCTCTAAGTGGCGTAAATGTTTTAATTACTTGCTTGTATTCTTGGGTGGCCCGTCTTCACTGGTTGTGTGGGCCCCAGCATAATTTCCATGTTCTCGGAGTTTTGCTGGTTTAGCCATTGTGATTCCCTGGAGTCCTGAGGTCAGCCTAGCCAAAGTCTGCGCCAGGTCGTCACCACTACTGGTAATAGCCGCCCTTGTGGGTCAGAGGGAGATTCGCCACCATGCGACTAGTTTGATATCAGGACGGTGGTGGGTCCTGTTATCGCTTTATTCTTAGCTGGGTTTCCTGATGGAGATGCTGGGCTCCTTAGCTTGAGAGGCCCTACTGGGGGATGAATCCCCCCGTTCTACAGCGGAGCCCGGCACCAACGAACACCTCCCAGCTACGATGCGGCGATAAACCGTTGGGGGGAATGTTTAGTCCCAGTATCAAAAGGTACTAAGAGTATCTGACCTGCCACCTGTGGTTGTGTCGAGACCAAAGGTTTTAACAACTGCTTTCATTTTTCGTACAGTACAGTTTCTGGTTTCTTACTTAAACTTATGCGCATTTATTTCCTTCCACTTCTATTTTTTTCATGTTTCTTTTCGTGCAACAAAGTGGTATTTCGATTGGCTTATGACCAATGCAATTGTAGTTGGTTTCCCTCTGCCAAACCTGCCTTATAAGAAATCTTCTAATTTCTATTTTATACCAGCCATCATCACATCTGTTGTGCGGATCTCAGCAGTTCTTGGATTCAATTCGTTTTCCTCGTGATCATCATCTACAGAGGCCTTCGAATACTTTGCATGTTGTTTCGGCTGATTGCTTAAGGTTTTCAACTTTTTATGAATGTCCTAGAATACTGGTCGAGTCGATTGTTCTTGAAATCTTGGAAATAGCTGAGCTAAGACGTTCCCTCGTGGATTGGAGGAGAGCGTTTGGGAGAGGATCGAACTAGTGCCTTGCTTCTTGTTAGAGTGCATAGCTAACCACTGCGCTTCCTGCTCTTCTAAGACATGTTTGGCTAAAATATCTTCTACCAATTCCACTGCTGCTCTTAAATGAGGTATTGATTTTTTTTAAGTCGAATCTGAACCATAATGCTTCCTTTTTGAAAGGTTTTTTGAGCAGCCTGCTCCTTAGCTTCCAATTGTTGTTCTCAAGCGTTTTGGACAAATGTTTCAATGTCCAAATAAAAGTTATATCCATTAAGTTTGCTGACGAGATTGCGCTTTCATTTCTGACTTCTCACTCTTTATGTTCTTCAATATCTATGGTGTATATGAGAACGAGGCGCATACTATACTGTACTTGGTTTGTGGAAAGCAGTGTATTGATGTTGATGTAGAAAACGTAAGTGGTATTAACCGTAATGTTAGGTATTTCTGTTGCATCCTTCATTTCATAATATCATCTACATGAGGAACTCGCACGTCGTCACACTCTAGAAGGCATGAATGGTTAGTGTCAAAATTGGATTTTCTAACACTTGAATGAGTATAGAGTACATATACCTAGAACGCAGACCAGCTACTTTTCGATCAGTACTTTGATCTCTTCTCGTGTTAAGGTGAATATCGATGGCGTGTATTATCCAGCTTTCGCTGATCGCATTTCGGCAGATGAGAAATCATTGGAGGTATAACGTTACAAAGTTCCTTTGTTATTTGTGAAATTCGTTCTTCATAAAGCTACAATCGATCCCAGCTTTATTTTCGATGAGGTTTAGTGCTAAATGTGAGAACTAGCCGCTTGTTCAACCGTCAGATAGACACCTGTTGCTCTTTATAGCATCGTTCTATGATAAATTGTATGTGTAATAATAATTCTCGAAATGTCCTAGTTGTTTTTTTTCTGGTATTTCAGCTTCACTGTGGGTCAAGAGAGGGTTCTCTGTTGAGAAGCGATTTCAATCATCTGGATTGAAGTTCTTACGTGTCACATATTTGCAGGCAACTTACCCTGGTGGCTGGCGTCCTCAGGAATCTGTGAACTTAGCGAACTGTAGAGTACTACAGGCAAAATCGTCACTTAAAATACGTAAGGGCGATGTTATCGAGGCTCTTTTTGAGCAGGCGAATGGCCAGATAGGATGGCAAAAGGCTTCTGTGCGAGAAATTAAGGTGGGAGATTTCTTAAAATATTGCCACTTTAGTTGTACTGGTAGTGGGTCTGTGTAATTTTTGTCCAAATGTTTCTCACATAGCCATTAACACATTACTTCTTGTAGTACCGTCTCATTCTTTTTTTTCCAATGAGCACTATAACCACAATCATGCTGTGACGTGAGCAGAGCTCTTGACTTAAGAGGGTTTCGATCGTGCGAAAGGGTAACCGCCTATTCGAAGCTGAACTGAGGTTCTGAGTTTTGCTTATATCTCAGCATCATTGTTTTTGTATTTCGCATAGTATCTTGTCAGGAAAAAAGTGTAGGCAGCAGATAGAACTTAAAAGTACCATAGTTCATCGATATGGCCTTATAGTGCACCTTAGGAGTTGTGTTTGTATAATGTATTGTTTTCACACTGAAGTTACTACTGACGGAGTTTTTCTCAGTTGCCCATAGAGGGCACTCAAGATTTTTCATAAAATGTCCTAATGCTAGGATGCTGATTACTCGTCTCTTTTTGTAGGCAGATTTCATCGTAGTGGATTCCATCGATGGTCCTCACCACACCGATGTGGTAGCTGCGAACAAATGTCGGCCTAGCGGCACTCACTATTTACGAGTAGCGGCTGGAGATTTGAGAACTAGTGTAATCAGTATGTTTTAAATACTTTTTTTGTGTGTAGTAGTATGTTTACACATCTTATTTTCAGGCGTTCCGGAAGACTTGATCGATCATTTCTGTAGCGAGCAGAACCTGTTAGAATTTCAAAATACTGTGAAGGATATCTCTATGGTTTTCGACAAGGTAATTCAGTGAACTATCGTCTCGTATATTTGTATAATATCATGGATTTGGTATTTTTTTTAGGACAAGCGTGAAATAAAGTTGAATTCGTTCAGTACAATGTCGCTGAAAAAGGCCGCCGTTCTTAGTGAAATGTTTTTCCGGGTATGTTTCATTCAGATCATTTAGTGGCCCTGTCTATTTCTTCTCAGTCATCTTTTCGTTCAAGGACGTGCGGACGAGGAATAATTTACGGGCACGAGCTGAAGAGGCGGAGCGTTTGCTTCAACATGGATTTCATCGAAACGAAAGAGACTCACCTTTCGTCGATGAATTTGAGTGGGTTTTGTTTTTACACTTGTTCATATACCATAATAGAATTGTATTATGCTTAGAGTTGCTACTGATCTAATGGGTTTGGCGATCGGAACCCATGGTTCGAATATTCAAAGGGCTCGTAACGTTGAGGATGTTGATGATATTCAGGTGTTCGAGGGAGGTGGTGATGGTCAGCCGTGTATTATTAAGGTCAGCTCACTACACTTTGTACTGAGTACTCAAAATTTTGTGCATCTTTGTACTAGGCTGTCTTAAATTCATTGGGGCGATTCCACAAGTTATTTGCAGTATTCATTGTCTTAATTCTCTAAAATTTTCCGTTTACTCTTTCCTTTTAGTATTAGGGTGTGAGTTAAATTACTGGTTCGCATAGAACAAAATCGTGATAAAGTTTACTATCAAGGCTATTCATTGCAAATCCTTAATGAAAACCTGTAAGATTATAGCATTCAAATACGTTGAAGACACTTCTAGAGGCTCTACGACAATGTACCATTACAGATTTTTGCAAAGACGGCTGCAGCTGCGCAGAAAGCACGTGCTCAGCTTGATTTCGGTATTGAATGTGTCCCTGTACCAAGGGTTCTTGTTGGCAAATTGATCGGCAAGAATGGAAAATGTATACAGGTATTGTTTTGTTTTTGTCGATGACGATCTTTGCTTTGATGAATACATAGGTGAATATTTTACAATCTAGCATTGTGTTTAGGAGATTGTTGATAAATCTGGTGCAATACGCGTGCAGATAGGTGAAGAAGGTGACGATAGCATGGATCCTGTACCTTTTGTATTCACTGGAACCAGGCTTGTTTCTTGCTATTTGAATTTAGAATTCCTAGGGCACTAACAAGATCGTGGAAATTTTTAAATGTTAAGAAATCTCGTCATTCCTATTACTTAATATCCTGTTCATATCTTTATTACTCCTTTCGTTATTGTAAAAGTTCTTAGTTTTCTACATTGTTACAGTTCCAAATTTGTGGTTACGGTAGGTTATTTAGCACCCGTAATAACAGCATGCTTAGTTCCTTTTATACGTGAGTGCAAATTGATCGGGATGAATTGATTTCGATTCATATGTAATCGAAAGTATTTGCCAAGACATGTGTCGATTCACTATGAACGTTACGTTTTGAAGAAAAAGCTACAGGAATTTGTCGATATTTTCAACGAGATGCAGATTTTCTTATTCCATCGCAATAAACTCCTGATCGATATTGACGGATAGTTTTTTCTTCTTTTTTCAGCGCTGTCTTAAGTAGTCAGGAAACTGAACGAGCTGGATTTCGTTCAGTTCTTGTGATGGTGTCTCCCAATGTATCAGTGATGTTTCCGGATAGCACACTTGAAATTTCGAATTTGTTCTTGTTTTTTGTAGTCATAGATTTTAAACCAACTTAATATTTACACAACACGAGAAGCTTGTATGTGTTGTAAACCTACTGCCATTTAGTGGTTAGAGATGTCCTCCGATAAACATGGTCATTGGCTAGATCCCACCCCTCGGATTAGCTAACTCCAATGTCTCTCAGAGGTCGGAAGGCGCTCTTGTCTGGGATGGTAAAAGTACTAGTTTGGTGCATCAATAAACACCAACTGGTCGTAATATATGTTAAATGTACTACTTATTCAATTCTGCGATGCTTAATGGATTCGAAGGCGTAACCCATCTCTACGAGATAGACCATTGTCAGATACTTTATTCTTTATCCTTTACGGATTAACTTCAAAACTGATTGAGTGCTTAGGTACTGAAAAACATTCTGCAATTTACTGCTTTGGAAACAGATTTTGTCACTCGATTTCACTTCTGTTCACTTTATTGTCAAGGATTTTCACTAAACACTCTGTCTTCACATGTTAGGTTCTTTTCATAGTTAATTCACGCGTATCTGTGATTTTTTTAGAGAAGCAACATCGATGGCATCGTTCTTGGTAGATTTTCAAATCAACCACCTAAAAGAGGCCGAGTATCTGCGCAATAATATAGAAGATATGATGCGACAAGCCTACAATAACTCCGAGCGTTTTCAGAGAAGTGGTGAATGTCGCTTCCAACTTTTACGTTTCCTGATTCATCTTTTGTTTCAACCTAGTAGATTGTCCAGATAACTATCAACGAAATGGATATGGTGATCGTGGAGGATTTGACCGACGTGGACGTCGCGGACGTGGACGAGGCGGTTATCGTAACGGCGGTTCTCAAAATGGAGGATCTAGCAATGGTACCAATAACAAGCCATGGAGGTATATTGCTTAGAATATGGAATTCTTGTTTTTAAATAGAAGTGTTTTGCTTCCATGTTTTTATGGCGTATTATTATTCCGTACCATATAAGAATGACGGTTCGCGTCATGTTGCTGTGACATATTTTTGCAGAGGAAATGAAAATGTTCGCTATAGTGACGAAGAATGGTCGGGTGCAGAGGAAGGAAAACATAGAGAGGATTCGATATTAGAGAAAGACCAACGCCATCAGAGTCGACAACGCGGTGGTAGTAGTGGTAGAGAACGAGGTAGTAGTACTGGACGAAGACGTGGTACGCTATTTTCGAAATTCCCATTGAATCAGATGCGTGTGTGGGAATAAATTGCCGATTTTGCCATAGTTAGATATATAGATAGATATAGATTACTAGGAGTGGTTACTGCTAAGAGCTTTGTATATGTGTGGTGGCTCTCTTCATTCTTATCCCACTGTTTATTTTTACTGGTTTTATCAGAAGACACTTTTAAGTTCCTCGCATGTGACATCGAAAGGTGTCGTAATGTTTTCGCGGAAGTGACGCTGAAAGTCGCCTATGACCTAGGCGTCGACTTGTCCGCAACAAACCCGAGATTTCGAAACCTACTTTCCTTGAACCTCGGTATCATTAATCAATATGTATTCTTTCTTTGATGAGCTTACACGAGGTTGATCATGATATTTATTTATTTTCGGCTAACGTTTCGACGTCTTCGTCTTCCTCAGAGCCGATGATCCGAGTCGATGGTCCATGCTTGTTGTTCGTCTCGACGTTGCAGCTTCGCCTTCGTGTCGAGTCAGGTCTTCTTCAGTGAGCCATCTCCTCGAATGAGGCATCCTTACTCAGTGATGCCCTTTTATACACGATGCTGATGGTGGATATAATGACAATGTCCGGTGGTAACTTGTATTTCTTCCGGACATACATCATTGCGCACATCGTGCAGAAGTCGGTGTTTTTATCAGCTAGCACAAAGCCGAGATTATTAGTCGTCGTTAGGATGTTGAGAAGTTCACCGGGTTATGCTGAAGTGAACGAACAGTTTGTTTATATATAGGAAGTAAGCCGCATATATATAGGGAAACAAGTATATTCATAGTTGTCTGTACACAATTTGGTGTACATCGGTTCCAGAGCAGCTCAGTTTTCTCTAAGAGTTTTCTCCACTTTCCCTAAGAAAATAGTGGATTTAAACGCTGGCTTCGTTTAAATCCACTATTTTCTTAAGGAAAGTGTATGTCGCTTTTATTTCCATGCTCAGCTCATTATCCATTACTGGAGGATTTTCCCCGTAACCTAGCGACTAATCCGCATAAGAGCCGTTCATTGGGAAGATACGAGCGCTTCTATAGTTTTAGAGAACCAGTCTCTTAACTCATTAAAGTTATTAAACTTTCTCATTAAAACCTCTGGTACGATGGCTGTGACGTGAGCTCGTGGTATACTACTCCTTTCAATAGTTTTTGTGTGACTGTCGTTAAGCTTGTTCTCCTCGAATTTCAATTTGCACACAAATCTTTTCAGGGCGCACAGCATATAGGAATGGAGCGTAACAGTGGTGGTATTCGTGTTCGACTCGATCCACGTTTGATTGTTCCACTATGTCGTGCCTATGGTCTCTTAAAGGAATACATGTAATTAATCTCATGTTCTTGAAACTCGTACCGTACAGCTTCTCTTCATCCGTTTTTCAAACATTTTTGTCTACTGGGGTATTCTTTCTCTTCTATGTCTTCTGAAAAGCTCGTCACGTACCCCGGTTCTGTCGTTAAGCGTTTGGTGTTTCGCTTTTTAGGCGTAGTTAAATTGTTCCATGTATTCATATATTTCGTTGTGCTTAATTGTCTCTTTTTGAGTTACGTGTCTCGTTATCGCGTCTTTGTTTTGGTACGTTTTCATTTGTTAAAACACCAATATAGATTTTAGACTAGCTCTGACACGTATACTTGATTTAACGGAATTTTTATCCTATTAATCGATCATGGGTAGTTTTTTAAACCCATGTTCACCATGGCTCAATTGCTGAAACTTTTGCTCTCTGTGTAATTGCTTGGAATGAAAGTTTTACGTCCTGAACAGCTTTTGCTATCTCGATATTGCCAATCAGCTATTTCCACTGGAAACAGAAGTCGACCTCTTGTCGTTTGTTTAGACGCAAGCAATATAGTAGAGCTGTTGTAGTAACTTTATTTACTTGGATGGCACGTCCTCACTTGTGCAGGGCCAGCGTAATCGTAATTTCCTCTCTTTCGGAGTTTTGCTGGTTTAGCCATTGTGGAGTTCCGGGGTCAGCCGGACCAAAGTCTGCCCAGGTCGCCGCTACCACAGGCAGTCGCCGTCCTTGTAGATCGAGGGGAAGTTTACCACCATGCGACTTCTTTGATACCAGAACGGTGGTGGGTCCTGGTACTAGTGCAGTTTTAGCTGGGATATCTAGTGGAAACGCCGAAGTCCTTCTCAGCTTAGGAGATCCTGCAGGGGGATGGATGCTCCACTGTACATCGCAACCCGACACCGAGAAACAGCTCCCGTCCACGAGGCGGTAAACCGTTAGGAGGCGTAGTAACTTTTGTACCAGTAAACAATGAAAAGACAGTATCAAATGAATCGCTGCAGAATGTCGTTACACACTGCATGGCAAGAACAAAATTTATTGTTGCCTTATGGACAACCAGTGGGAAAAACTGCATACTAGTAAATTAACATGTTAACTTTAACATTTAACGGGTAGGACAGTTAATGTTTTAGAAATGGCCATCAAAGTAGCATTGGATACACATCTTAACGTCGTACTAACCAAAATATAATGCCATAAGCTCACCCCACTAGCAAGTCATCTGTCTTTGAAGGCGGTATTGAGGGAATCTCTTCCTCTTCTTCGACAACCTCACTTAAGCCCCATAGTGCTTCCAAATTGAAACGAAGACGAATATCTTCACTCATTACATGGATCTGAAACAAACTATTATGGACTGGGCCTGCAATGTTCGTGAAGGAAAGACAGTACAGTACAAAGACACTTTTTATCTATTCACCGGCTTTCTAAGTCATGAGCTCGTGAGCATGTACAAAAGGAAAGCGGAGCCGAAAAAATGAATGATTCTTGCGCCGATGGATGTTCCATAATAAAAAGTTTTATTTATTACGTGACCCGGCATCACATTTACCGTGTAGATCTCCACACCTCTCGCATTCGATTCATTTTCTTCACATTCATTGTCTACAATTGACTTTAAAAATTTCGAGCATTGCTTCGACAGTTGCGAAGCATTTCCTCTTCTTTATGACTCTAGTAGGCTGCTCGAGTATATTCCGTCAGTTCTCATTGCAATCTTGGAGTAGAGCGTTGGAGAAGAAGTCAAACCAGCACCTCGCTTCCTGATGGAGTACATAACTAATGATTCCATAGTTTTCACTGTAATCAACATAGTTCATTATAACATGAAGCATGTGGATGTGTTAAGTTGAAAAGCTAAATTATTTTTGGCCATGTCTAACCAACACACCAATGATTTCTATTGTCGTCAATGGACCAAAAGCCCACAGTGTAGACAGGTCCTCACACTAGTATATCGGGATTCCTAGGAAAAAGACGTTCGGTTAGTTTACATGTAACTGAAAACAGAAGACGACAGATCCTCAAAGCGAAGCTGAACCCGCATATGAGCTTGACCACCTTCATAGATGACGGTTATATGACAACAAAACGAATATAAGAATTGGTGTGACCCACATGACACCTAAATGCATGTCACTTAAGCATCCAAAAAAGTTCTTCAAAGAAGAATCAAAGAGCCATTCTACCTTATAGGCATAAGAAAAACACGAACAACTTGATATTAGGAGATAATGCGAAGAAAGACAGTACGATTGTTCTAATCTCTTGTAAACCAAAATAACCAGTCAAAAATGGTAGGTTCGACATCTGTTTATCACTTACTGAATGTGACATTCGTCCGAAGAACAAAACTACAACGATATGACGATTCCACCAAAAATATTGCTTTTCTAATAGAAGTCGTTGTTCATAACATTAAAAAGCGACAATTCATTATCTTTCATACCAAAATCTTTTCATAGGAAAGTGTGAACTCAGGTTAAGGAATCTCCACACTTACTTTTCAGATTTTGGGAAATACCACCGTTAACAGACTGATAAGAGGTGAAACATTTGACCCACTAAGTCAGTTATGGTTAAAAGAAAACCAAAAGCGTAATTTTAACTTTACTTGCTGCCTATTAAAGGTTTTCACGGAAGGGTATTATGTGTGATACAACAACAATGACGATGAGATATTTGCAAAACTCCGTACCGCATATATCTGCGGCGGGGATTGAACGTGCTATTTCCATTTCTGGGGTTAACGCATTCTTCCTGATGGCAATGGTAGATTAAAAACTGGCTGAGGGACAGGCAAAACGAAGGATTCGCGCAGTGTGCTGTTGACCAAAAACATAACTTTCCTGGCCATGTATCTTTCACTCTTACATACTCTCGATTACGACTGATTATCGATTAGCCAATTTTAAAAACTAGTACGCCGAAAAAACAAATTGACTCGACGCGAACCACTAAGTAGGGATAATTGAGTGAATTCTAAGATATTCCAAATCTAAGCTGAAGACCCAACTATAAGACGGCCATAAATGGTTACGATCACCAAAAATAAATATGACGTACGCAAAGTGTTTGTAGCGTAGAGCCAAAGAGGAAAACAAACCACGGAAATAACCGAAACCAATGGTGTTTTCTGAGTCCCAGTACTAGGTAACTAACATAAAAGCTAATGTGATAGGTGGCCATTAAATATAAAATATACTCAGAAGTATCAGCCAAAACCCGAGTGCTTCAATCCTGGCATTCTCGGCATCATTTCAAGAAATTACTCTAGAGTATGATATCTCTCAGGTTTCATTTCTGTATTAAGAAAACACTACCTGGATTTTCCCTAGCTCGATTTGGAACCATCCCCAGCTATTACGAATAGTACATTTTTTTGGCTGTAAAATTGAAAATTAACAACTAACTGCGAGGACGAAAGATGAACATCAGAAGTTGATCCAGTTATTCACCTGTTCATCAGTCATCTTTCCTGCCTTCCTTAAAACTTCAGCTATAGCTTTCCCATGCCTAGCATTAAAATAGCTGCATGTGATCTGAAATCTTGTGCCGATTACGACAACCTGAAACTTTAGCTGACGAAGCAAAATAGTAAAGCACGTAGCCACTTAAATCTAGTATCCCATTCTATATTTTAAGCTTTGAATGAAAAGTTTAAAGACTTCACAATACAAGTTTTCAACAAGACGACATTAGAAAAGTGAATTAACCCCAATACTTGCATTTTACATTTTAATGTAAATACTCACAATTGTATCAACAGTTCCTGGTCCATTAACACCAAGCTCGAGAACGACGATATCTCTGGCACGTTCGCGTCTTAGTAAATCGACCACATCATCGAGTGATTCCATACTGTATTTGAAAAGATCTATTACATAGACAAAGAAATGGAATTGAATATTAGAAGAAATGGCGTCATCAACATATAGTATTGCGGTGACCCTCTCCAAGAATTCACCAACCTTTCACGTCTATGAGAAAAAAAAGTACCACAGTTACAATACAAATAGTCAAACTAGCTTAGAAAAGGCCGAAACGAACGATCCGCATAGTGTGGTGGTGAACACGCTAGCCCTCGGGAAGGGTAACAGCGAGTTCGACCGAAGACACCTGCGATCCGGAGTTTTGCAAATATCTCAGAATTATCGTGATTGTATTTCACATCATACCTTACCATGAAAAAAGAACAGGCAGTAAATAAAAGGTTAACAATACCACAGTTCTTCTTCGATCTTATCAATTTCAGGAAAAGCTTCTTCCTCATCATCTACTTCATAGTACTCCTCAATATACTGGTCGAAGTACTCTTGCGCTTGTGCGATCTTGGTCTTTTGAGCTTCAATCTCTTCTCGTGAGGTGGAATAATGCCGTCTAACAAAACTGAAATCTGTTTTACACCAATCATGGCTACAATGTATAAACCAATAAGGGATTTACCGATAGGAATATGGCTGTTTAACAGAAACTGAAAGAACAAATGGTGAACTACTGGGCGAAAGGATTGGCGTGTATCGTAATGTCACGTATCCTGATGCAAAAAAAAATCACAGCCAATAGCAAAAGTCAAAATTTCTATAACTGAAAGAGAAAACAAGAGAAATGAATAGTAGAAAAAGTGGACTTTAGGGCAAACTTGTTACCTTTGCTCCACAACTGGACGATACTTAGCGTCCACTTTGATAGTTTCGAGCTCATCAAGCGCATCGAATCCATCGATTACTCTAGAATAGGTATGAGAACAGTATGAGTTGTAGGAAATAAATCCAACGGCTACCAAGAAAGATGGAAACACTTAAGTCAAAGTCTATAACAAAACCACCAACTTCCCAAAAACCGTATATTTGAGGTCAAGGTGAGGTTGTTTGGCGTAGGTGATGAAAAACTGTGACTTGTTCGTGTTAGGTCCGTTATTTGCCATAGACACTACACCACGTCCGGTGTGCTGAACGAATAAGCTCTACGCATTAGAAGTGTTAAAATCTGTCTGGTATTAGACTTACTTTGAGCTCAGTTGAGAGCTCGTCTTCAAATGGACCACCCCAAATGCTGTTTCCGCCTTTACCCGTGCCTGTAGGATCACCTGTTTGGACCACAAAATCCTTGATGTTTCTAAATGCATATGGCTTAGAGCAACATTTAAAGTAGACTGGTAGAACAGAACTGAGTTACTGATAAACTGATAGAACATTGTAGTAGCCAGCAAATAAAAGGACATTGTAATTCCAAATACAACCTCAGCTTAAATGGGTTCAACGATAATTTGCGCTCCCCAGATCAATCTTGTTGACGGGTGATTACTAATGGCTGGTAGGTAGCAAACTAGTTGAGAGACAGGCGAAACGAAGAACTCGCATGGCGCGGAAGTGAACGCGTTAGCCCAGGAAAGCGTAATAGAGTGTTCGTTCTCCACCGCAGACAACTGCAGACCGGAGTTTTGCGAATATCTCAGCATCATTATGGCTGTATTTCACATAATATCCTGCCGTAAAAAAAAAGTTGCAGTAGGCAGCAAATAAACGGTTAACATCACTGGAGTATTTCGTACGAGACATTTTACCACAATACAAGGATGTCTAGCTGTTCCAATACAGTTATACTGTTTGGCTGACGAAGTAGGATGAGAAATCGTGTTTAAAAAATAAACTAGAAAACACAGGAAAGCAGTTTAAACATATCACAGGCTCTGGCAGCCATAGCACTGCAGCACCTGGGATCCCTTACTGGATAGAAATTTCCCATAACTACAAACAACAACAGAATAAACCAATTCTTTCCTTTAAAAGTACAAAATAAAACAGTAACTCTTTCGAATCCCTTGATATAAACACAAAGCATCGCCTTTGTCAACTGACCGGCACCTCCTCATCTTTCAGTTAGTATACACACCAGTAAAATTTAATCCTAGGTTGGTAACAAATTTCAACTTCATAACCTTTGCGTTGTCGGGACTCTAGGAAACCACAATGGTTAAACCAGCAAAACTCCAAAACAACGGAAAATATGCTGGGGCCCGCACAACCAGTGAAAACGGAAAATCCAAGTATCCAAGTAAGCAACCTTTGGGCTGCCCAAACTAAACTGGTATAGGGCAGAGGTAAGAGCTGAATTTGTATAACGTTATAATGTTATAAAGAAGTGAATTTGTTGGCATTTACTGATCAAAATTTGCAACCTGACTACGTTTGACTATGAATACTACTGTCACTTAACCATCGAAACACTTCCGCAAACATCAATGGCGAGAATGCTGTCGCAGGAACGACTGTGACGAAGTGATTGACGAAAACACCAAATAGACCAAGAAGGAACCTTGCCCGGAATGGTCAACTAAGCTGAATATGGACGCTCTCGACACTACTACTCGGCAACATCCAGACACTGAATAACATAGTCAAAAAAAGCTGAATATCGCAGTGAATGTGTCGTTTTCTTGTTCAGCAATCGCGAGGTTTTTAAACAGCATACATTTACTTCCATAGAAAAACACAATACAATACAACGCTAGCTGACGTTTCGGCAGTATCGCCTTCTTCAGAGCCGCTTTTTCGTGACTTCCAATGAGGAAGTTTAGAACAGCTGATTATAGTCGCATGTGGTTGACGACTCGCAGTGAAATTAGTGCACAACTTATACTAGGCAGTAGGAAAAGGTAGTGATTCAGACTCGTCATCTCTGAAAAGGAAGTGGACATTGTAGTCCGTTTTCAACTGAAACCCACGGTGGCTTGTCCCCACGAACGGTCTACTGGTAGAAGACGAACTCTCTTCGAAAGACTCTAACGCTCCCAATAAGGTAGACGGTGTTTGACATCGAATTCTGAAAGCTTCTCTCGTCTGGCACAACTACCTAGTCAAATTCTGCTGTGATCGACTTGTTATTACGGACTGAGGACGGCACAAGGAATAAGATTTGCTTGTAGCAAATCACTGCCTACATAATGCGAAGAGATCCTGTAAACAGTTGCATAATATATGACAATATATTCACTAAAGGCAAACTGACTGGCCTGTAAAAGCCACAACAAACTCAAATCACTGCAGCACCACCTCACCGGATATAAATCCACATCAACGCAGTATCTCAGTAACAAACTCTATCAGCTATTCATGTGGAAGCACCGCATATTACACCTAGTGGTATCGACAGAGTGAAGTAGTTCGCAAAGAACACGGTCACCCCGATGGATGAAAGTAGTTTCATCCTGAACAAATAACGATTTCCCAAAAATGTTGTCTCCTAAAAGAGGTTTCTTGCCAACAGTATTAGGATATTAAAGAGTTCCCTTACCGACAATAAACCGACCTTGGATTATCGGACCCACTTACTCACTTACTGCAAATTATGCGTAGTTGTTTACATTAAAGAAGTCTATAAATGGTTCCTCACTGATTGTTGCAAATTATTGATAAATGATTACCACCAAAACATGAAGACATCAGCTTCACTGCAGCAGCAGTTTTAGACACACGCTAGTGTGAGGTGGAAAAAGCCTACTGTACAAAAAATGGTTCTGTACTCAAAGGGTTACACTTGTTAACGCTGGGAGAAATTTCGACCATCCTCTATTAAGGAAGAGTTCTGTAGGAAAGCGTTATGGTCAAAACATTCTCTGTAGAAATATTTCGAAACCGACTTTCCTTGAACCTCGGTATCACTAATCAATATGTATTCTTTCTTTGATGAGCTTACACAAGGTTGATAATGATATTTATTTATTTTCGGCTAACGTTTCGACGTCTTCGTCTTCCTCAGAGCCGATGATCCGAGTCGATGGTCCATGTTTGTTGTTCGCCTCGACGTTGCAGCTTCGCATTCGAGAAGATGGCTCACTGAGGAAGACCTGACTCGACACGAAGGCGAAGCTGCAACGTCGAGACGAACAAGCATGGACAATCGACTCGGATCATCGGCTCTGAGGAAGACGAAGACATCGAAACGCTAGCCGAAAATAAATAAATACCATTATCACCCTCGTATAAGCTCATCAAAGAAAGAATACTCTCTGTAGAGACACGACCTAAGCTGAGCAACCAGTTTACTTCCAACAATTTTGAAACCGACCGCCATTTAACCTCGGTAGTAAGATAATCAACGTGTTTATGTTCTTGAGCTCACATGAGGTTCATAGAAATGTTTATTCGGCTTACGTTTCGACGTCTTCGTATTCATCAGAGTTAATGACCCGAGTCGCTAGCCCACAGTTATTCATCCCCTCGAATAAACATTCGCCTCATTCGAGACACTCCAATCGACTCCGATCGTCCGCTCTAATGTGGACGAAGATGTAGAAAAGTTAGCCGAGTAAACATCACTATAAACCTGGTGTAAGCTCAACAATACAAATACAAGTTACTTTCTTCTTGCTCCGTTACACAAATTCGAAACACATCTTAAAGGTATATCGAAGGTCAAAATGTATTCGCAGCTGGTATAACGGTAAGTAGACTGACAGTGACATCCATGAAGTATAAGTCAGACATATTACCGTTGTCTTATTATCGAATAATCTCAAAAATCCTATCTATATCCCTTTCTCTACATAACCCGCTATCACATCTACTGTGCGGATTACGGCACTTTTCGCACTCAATTCGTTCCCTCTCAGTTGTCGCCCACAATGGCCTTTAAGCATATCGCGTGCTCTTTCAACTCCTGCTTGAGGACTTTTTTTCTTTAGAATGCTGGTGGAGTGGATTCTCTTTGAAATCTCGGATATAGCCGGGCTAAGGCGTTCTCACGTGAATTGGAGGAGAGCACTGGGGATCGATCTAGCGTCTTCGCTCTCTGATCGAAGGAACTTGGTAACTTCACGAATTAAGTTATTAAGATCAGAAAGTTTTCTAAACTGGGAAAATTGGAGCCCTACACATAAACATCTTACCTGTGGAAAATGTTGTCCTTGTAATAGTCGCTAGCGCAAAGGGCGAGAAAGTTCTGAAAAATACAATACAGGGGCTAAGAAAAACAAGATGACTCAGATGATGGGTGTGTTCTACTTCATGCGGATTGTATTCTACGAGTCAATTCGGCCAAAAACCCGCAATCAAGTGACAAGGAAGTATGGTCGATTAGGAGTTGCCCCCAACAAATAAGCTCCATGCCCATTCCGGGAGAGACTGGCAAGCTACCCATGAGTAAACTCAGCCTCCAGGTACACAGCCCAGCAAGTTCTACATGGATATTAAGAAGGTAAAAACAGTAAAATAAACAGTTCTCATTTCCTGACCGAAAAAGCACCAGTTCGGCAGCGTTGGGTAGGACGAGTACGGAGAGGCTGCTAAAATCTCAGGACCAATGGAAGCTGGCTGGACTGCAAAGAGCTAAGGTGACGATCTGCACAGACAATGCATGTACACTTGTATTCGAGTCCTCAATAGGAGACTTGCTCATGCAAGCAAAAAGGATAAAGAAATGACGTCATCGGCCAGGTCGACAGGAGACTACGCCACCTACTCAACGCCGTCTATGAAACCGGAGAACTGTTCCTCGGGACACACGACAGTAGAGGAGTCGGCGGCGTAGGCGTTCTCGTCAACACGAGTTTGTCCATGAACACCGATTCATTGGAACAACTAATAACCATGTGGATCAATACCGACTTTGACAATCTTCGTCCTTTACGCGCCGGTATCAAGCAACGAGAAAAGAAGAAGTCGAACCGTTCTAATATGGACTTGGAGAAGTTCTACAGAGAAGACCATACATTCTTCAAAGCCTTCATTGGAGATTTCAACGCCAAGACTGGACCAAGAACGACGTCTGCTGAAGAATGTCACATTGCGAACAACCGATTAGAATGGAACGAACAGGGTGACTGGTTCCCTGAGTTTATGATGATGACGAAGATCATCCATGGTAAGTCGCAATTCCAGAAGTCCCATCCTCAACGCTGGACGTGGAAGTTTCCCAATGGAGAGCACCAGAACGAAGTAGTATACATCATAGTTAACAGAAGGTTTTGCCTAACCGATGTTGCTGCTGTCCCAAAATTCCACACGTGATCAGACCATGACCTCCTTCGTGCAAGGTTCTATTTCTCGCGGAAGGAAGAAAAAACCGCTAAATTCAAAAACCGAAGTCCCAGAACCACCATAAACTGGGACTTATTCAATTCATTAGTCTTCCGGCGAAAAGATGCCGTTGTCGATAACATCGACGAAGAATACGATCGGCTCATTCAACATCTTCACGTTAGCGCTATGAAAGCTGAGAGTTCGAAAGTGACCAAGAGACGTTTGTCTCCAGAAACTCTCGAGCTGATACGCTAGCTTAGAATCGCACGACATGCAGGCAACCGCGAACTAACGTCCGAACTTGCAAAACAATGCAAGCAGGCGGCAAAAGAAGATTTTAAAGAGAGAAGAGCAGTAGTAATGGTCGAAGCTGCAGAGGCTGGGTAAGGCACTCGCAATTCACACCGAAGCTTCGCCAATTATACGACCAAGATGATTGCACTCCTACGCCCAGACGGAACAGTTACAGCGTCCAGAAGGCTAATTGAGAAAATCATTCACAAATGCTACTCGGATTTCTTCGATAGCTACGTCCACCTTTCGTCGTATGAAATAAAGGAGGATGGATATGTTGTACCACCGGTTCTCACTTCCGAAATCCGACATGCCATTTCGTCGGTGGAGAGTCTAACAGCACCAGGCTCGGAGAGGATAAGACCAGAACACCTGAAGAACCTTCCGCCAATCCTCGCAAACACACTGGCTCGGCTCTTCACACGCTACCTGTTTGTCTTTGCCCAAGGTCCTTACTAAGTGGACGGCCAGCAAGACCGTGCTATTGTTCAAGAAGGGTGAACTGCACGATATCTGCAACTATCGGCTCAATCTGCTTACTGTGTCTACAAACTTTTCACTCGAGTCATCCCAAACAGGATTGACAGAACACTAAACGAAAGAGAGCCGTGTAAGCAAGCAGGGTTTCGAAAAGGATTTAGTACGATGGACCACATCCACACAGTAACAAGGCTTATTGAAGCATCGCGAGAGTACAAAAGACCGGTCTGTCTCACTTTCATTGATTTACAGAAGACCTTCGATTCAATTGAGATAGGAGCAGTTTTGGAAGCCTTTGATAGTCAAGGAGTCCCTACTCAGCACATAAAGATTTTTCATGAGCTGTACAAAAAATTCACAACCAAGGTATAACAATTCTACAACGACATTAACATTAAGGTCAAAAGAGGAGTTAGGCAAGGCGATACCATCTCGCCACAATTATTTACCGCCAACCTCCAGAACTTCATGCGAACATTAGAATGGGATAATATGGGAGTGGAAATCGATGGTCGGCAGTTACACCATCTTCGCTTTGCTGATGACATTGTCCCTATAACACCAAACATTAGTCAGGCGGAACGTATGGTTGCCGACTTTGATAAAGCCTGTGGAAAGATTGGCCTTCGACTAAATCTCACAAAAACGATGTCCATGAGGAACAGAATGGTTTCGCATGCGTCATTTACGCTCAAAGGAACGAATATCTCCGAATGCTTCAGTTACGTCTATCTAGGTCGGGAAATCAATACGATGAACGACCTAGCTCCAGAGCTGAACAGAGGGAAACGAACGGCTTAGAGAGCTTTCAAGAGCATCGAGGATGTAGTGAAGAGAACAAAGAACACCGGACTCCGTGCCCACCTTTCCGACTCAACGGTACTTATTGCCCTAACGTATGCGTCAGAAACCTGGTCGCTGAGTAAGCAGGATGAAAGGTCACTAAGCCTTATCGAACGCGCAGTCGAAAGGAAAATTCTAGGAGTATCCCGTTCCACACAAGTAAGGGATGGGATCCGAAGCTCCGATCTGCGTCAACGATCAATAATCAAAGATGCCGTACGCCAAACAGTCGAAGATAAGGTGGGCCAGACACGTAATGCATATGAATCACAACCGATGGAGAAGAGCCGTTCGTGACTGGATTCCTCGGGATGTGAAACGTACTGCAGGAAGACCACCGACCCGATTGTCAGAGCTCTTCACAAAGAACCTTGAAGAAAGATATGATGCTCGACGAGTCCCTAGAGCGAGCAGAACCCACTGGGCTACTCTTGCACCCGACAGGGAAAAATGGAAGATTTAGTGGCGCCCGCTCGAGTCACCCTACGATTAACGGGACTATAGGTGATACAAATGATGGACTGATCTTGTTGGACTGACGCAACATTGGTAAAAGTTGCCGTTGTTGTTGTTGTTGTCCTTGTTGTTCTTGTTGCTGCTCTTGTTCGTCGATGAAGTACCACTCCTAACATCACTAATCCGAGGAAGGTGAAACCGTCGTGACATCAGCCATCAGTCAACAGTAACAACAGCAACAACAACAACGATAATAACAACAATAATAATAATAACAACAACAACAACAACAGTAACAGCAGCAACAACGACAATTTCTATCAACATAGCATTAGCTCAACAAAATCATTTCATAAGAACATATAAAATAATAAGATATAATAAGATATGAGGTGATATGAGTTTTTACCTACCTCACAGGTTTTCGGACACTCTTGGCAAAACAATTCAATCTTGATATCACCTGCTGTCGTGTGCAAAGTTACGGACATAACATTAGTTGTCTAAAAGTACTATTTAGGCGATTTTTTGAACATGAAGAGGCTTACATTAAGGTTCAAAGAGGATAAAAACACAACAAGAAAGGGTTTTCGAGAACTTATGAAAGAACAAACAACTAAGAGGAATAGAATCCGAGCGCCACTAAGAGAATCGAACAAGGCATTCTTCTGCACGACGACAGCTAGAAGATAAGTTCTAATAATTCTTATTAGTAATTAAATCACCCGAAAAATGACAGGCTCAACAACGACTAGTCGAAATTCAAAGCTTGACATTTTCTGAACGTATGAGCAGGTAAAACAACTAAAATAAACTCGAAGGATAAGTTCTGAGGAATCTAGCTCGAATAATGCGTTCTCGCGAATCTAATGCGCTTAACGCACCAGGAAAACCACAGTTCCTCCACCAGAAAAGAAAACTAGGAGGATGTAGACTATTCTGGTATCGGAAGGATTTGTGAATACGGTCCATCCAGGTACTGAAATAAACAACATATTTATATAGTATGTACTGCAAAGTCCTCCTAAGGGCTAACCGCTTCATCACAGTTAAGAGGTGTTCCTGGGGGTTAAGCTGCGATGTACAGCGGCAGTATTCATCCACACAGCAGGGTCTACTAAGCTAAGAAAGAGTCCGTCGTTCTATCACGAAGCCCAGCTAAGAGGCCAATACTAGGACCCACCACAGTCCTGATATGAAACTAGTAGTACGGTGGGAAATCTGCCTGTGATCGACATGGGCAGCGACTGCTTGTGGTGGTGACGACCTGAGGCAGAGTTTGGCTAGGCTGCCTTCTGGACACCAGGAACCAGGATAAACCAGCAAGTCTCCAGAGAATGGAAATTATGCTGAGGCCCACACCACCAGTGAAGCCGTGCTATCCAGGAAAGCAAATAAGTATGTACTGGAAAGTAACGAGCTGGCACCGAGTGCTTTCAGTTCTTAGTCCGAGTTTTGCCATTCTAATAACAGCCACATGTCCGCTTTTCTTAAATTGTTCCACTAAGAAAATTACTATGCTCCTATTAAGGAATAAGCAAGACTAGGGCGTTTCTACAGATCTCTATGTTTATCCCTACAAAGTAGCTGAGAACTAGACCATGCGTTCGCCGCTTATATGGCCATAAACTAGTTAAATGACAACATTAATGGTCGGTTTCCGTTCTAAATAATACATTTCAAGCGTTCCAGATCGCTTAACGCTCTTTATGAAACTTGTTCCTAACAGTTACGGAGACTGACTAGTTGTTCATTTAGAACACAAAACAAGATATTTGAGAACATGAGACTAGAGAAGACATATTTTACACGACATTCAAAGTTAAACAGTACGCAGAGGAACTAGAGATTTAAGGACTCCATCTAACCAGTACTTTTCGCACAAATACAACAGCATTCAGCGAGGTATGGAATTAGGGGACATAAATAATGGTCCGTAATTACAGAACGGGAGCACATTTGAAACATCTTGCAGTAACTCCCACGACCGACTTCCCATTAACCTCGGCATTCATCAAGTAATTCTTCGTATTTTTGTTGAGCAAACGCGAGGTGTTATTGTTCTTTATTCACGAATAAGCTGACGATTCGGCGGATTTCGCCTTCCAGCCTGGAAAGGTCAAGTTGACAGCAATCCACTCGGCCGGACGCCTCCGTAACCAAACAAAGAAACTCCAAACCAAGATTTCAATCACGTTGAACACAGCTTTGCACACTCACCGCTGTGTAGTTGTGTTCAACGTGATTGTCGGCGCTACCAATTTCCACCGACGTTCTTTAGACAACAAGAGCCCAATAATGAAGTTGATGTTAATTTTCGGATGTTTGCGAATGAAACTCTCAAAGTCCTTAATCACTATCGCGCGAAAAGATACAGCTCCAACCTCACTCCAGTGCAAAAACGTGGTATGCGAGAGGTACGAGAGCTGATAAGGTTGAAAACCATAAGACTTTCCGTTAGTGATAAGGGTGGAGAGTTTGTCGTAATTTCTCATCAGTTAGATGTGGAGATAACGAAAAAGCATCTTGAAGATGCTTCGCTTTATCGCCCATCACCTGAGGAGGAATTCAAAAGTAAATACCGAAAACTAAACCAGGAATGGGCCAAAATGGCAAGGGCTGCTGGTTTAAAACCATCAGTTATCTCTCAACTTAAAGTTGACTTACCAACATGCCCCGTCTTGTACTGACTTATAAAAACTCTTATAAAGGCTTATAACTTATATATATATATATAACTAAGACTTATAAAAAAACTTATAAAAAGTTAGTATCCAGCGATGATCTTGCGTCTACCGATCCATCACTATTTAAGGTTAGACCTATCATTAGCTGCGTGGACGGGCCAACGGACAGGATAACATGGTTTTTAACCCTAATATTTAACCAGTTGTTGAAACACATTCCAGCCCATCTTACGAATACCCAGATGTTTCTGGATCGTCTACGTACTGCGCAACCCAACAGCGCGTGCGTGATGGAGTCCTTCGACGTTACCGCCCTTTATACAAACGTGTCGAATGACTCCGCAATGCAAGCCATATTCGAACTCCTTACACAACACGAAGGAGAAATAAACATGTATGGCTTCAGGATAGAGCACCTGATGGCACTCTTAAAAGAATGCTTGAGCTGCTCAATCTTCAGATGGTCTGGAAAGTACTACGCTCAAATAAGAGGGTTGGCAATGGGACAACGACTGGCTCCAAGCCTTGCCATTGCATTTATGTCTAAGGTGGAAGCACCGGTGACTGATCTCGGGCCGCTACTCTACTGTAGGTATGTAGACGACTGCTTTGTCCTTTGCTCAACAGAACTTGGCACGGCAAATAGCCATTTCTAATGGCTACGAAACTGTAGCTCAGGATAGGTGTAGAGGAAATCGTAGGCCTCCAAACGACAACTCTAGTGATAGAAGGGTCCCGTTTATCCTACCCTTCATCTCAAATGATATAAGTACAGGTATAAAACGCTGCTTGAGTAGGGCGGGGTTAGAGAATCCGGTAAGCGTAGTTGAATTACCATCGAGTAATCTTAAGCGCCAGCTAGTTCGTAACCACCTATATGACCGTCTATGTGCAACTCAAAATTGCATAATTTGCCCCAGTGGTAGAGACGGTGATTGCATGACCTCGGGTATAGGTTTATCTGATCTCCTGTAAGATGTGCGTTTACGAATACATTGGCGAAACGGGTAGACCCCTCTGTGTCCGCATAAAACACCTAGCCGGCAAACATAGACCAAATACACCGCTAGGCACGCATAGGACCCAGAGACATAACGGGGACGACTTCGAAGTATGTGTCACGATCCTCGCACGTGAATCGAGAACACAGGCGCGAAAAACTCTCGAGGCACTCTGGATTAATTCCGGAAATCCGAAAATGAACCGCAGGGAAGAATGCCTCATTATCACGCGTGATATTGGGCAGTATATAAAACTGCTTTTCTGATGTGAGGGGCACATTATACTTCCACGTGATTTCTGTGCGGTTGGTCTCTACGTGACATACTTAGTGGAAACCTCATAGAAAGCGGTGAGTGTGCAAAGCTGTGTTCAAAGTGATTGAAATCTTGGTTTGGAGTTTCTTTGTTTGGTTATGGAGGCGTCTGGCCGAGTGAGTTGCTATCAACTTGACCTTTCCAGGCTCTGAAGAAGGCGAAATCCGCCGAAACGTCAGCTTAATCGTGAAAAAAGAATAGTAACACCTCGCGTTTGCTCAACAAAAATACGAAGAATTACATTTGAAACAGTTTTGTTTTCTGCTTCCTAACCGATATAATTGGGTAAATCGCTTAAGGAAGGATTACAAAGGAGAATCTTGTAGAGTACTAAGGTTTTCTAGCGGAAGATTCGATCTGCTAACTTCTCTTTGCCACAGTTCTCTACAAGACGTTCTCTACAATATTACTGTGATATGGAGACTTCGCCTTCCTCAGAGCCGTGATGTTACGTGTGGGACCCACACGTAACATCGACCAACAACAAAAACAACGAGAATGACAATGAAGACCTGTACGAACCTCGCGTCAGCTTAAGAAGAACAGTTTATAAGATCATATAAATAAATATATCAACTACCTATGTCGGGGTTTATAGAAAGTCGGTCTTTCGAGTTATTAAGAGATGCTGAGATATTTGCCGGAGTCCGGACGTCCGGTATCTGCGGCGGAGATCGTACCTGGCTACTAGGCTTTCCGGGGTTAGCGTGTTCTCCACTACACCATGAATGACCCTCGTTTATCCTCTCTCTGAGCCGTGTTTTATAGGTGCTACCAGCAATCATCCGTCGACGGGTTTGATCTGGCGTGCACAAATCGGCATTGAACTCAGTTGAGCTGAAGCTGTAGTATAAATGAAAGAAAGAATAGGCAGTAAATAAAATTTGGTTACATTATGACCTATAGGCATAATTTACTCAGACAGTTACTCGAATATATTGGTCATCTTCAGAAAGGTTAACTTATACTATGCTTCGTTTCTCAACACTCTACATTCATGAGTTCCTCTTGTCACTGTTAATCTTTGTACATCTTTGAAGCTGAGAATCTTCAGTACCAGTATATTTCGCTCCATTTTCAGTAAACCTTTAACTTATTAGCGGAAATATGAACACTATAATGTCTATACGTGATGGTGCTAGTGGACGATATGAATACCATGGTGTTCATATTCAGGTCGCGGGTTTCAGAGTTTTTTTTCTATTAGACTATCTGTATTCCTTGCATAATATAGTCGAAATTAGATCAAAATAGCAGAGGTGAGACCAGAAAAGGCACTCTCTATACTTAATGATTTATCAAAAACCTTTTTTTTTCGGAAAAGTTCATTACCTGACGATTTAACTAGTAATTCATTGTTATGTATTCTTTGTTTAATAAGCCTACACGAGGTTGGTAAATAATCTTAATTCTGCTAAAGTTTCGATGCCTTCTTTGATAAGCTTAGAAAGTGGAAACTCTTTGACAAGCAAATAAAGAATATATATT